CATATCGTTTACGTAGTACGAATATAATGGGGCCTAATATCGATCCCTGCGGAACTCCACATGCAATTGGCAAAGAATCAGAGAGGTGTTTACATAATGTTCCATTATTCCAGTAAGGTATTTCTACTCTCTGAGATCGTTGAGAAGATCGTTGATCGTTGAGACTGATGAGAACGCAGAAGGAAATGCATAAAGCTCCTCGTTGCAGTCTTCTAATGCTCCCCCAATCCATCTAAGCAACATTTGGCAGCCTCAACAGAGGAATAATGTTAAAAGAATATTATATAAGACTATTGTGGAACGTACAGCCACATATGGGTCTGAAATTTGGGAAACATCAAAAAGTAATGAGAATAAATTTATATCAATGGAAATGGACTATTGGCGAAGAAGCTGTGGATTGGCATTGTTGGAGAAAGTAAGAAACGAATAAATTAGAATATAAGCATATGTTATTTTCAACATTATTGATACAATTGAAATTAAAAGGCTTCAATGGTATGATCACTTAAACAGAATGGGTAAATAACGATGGCTTCGGAAGCTCAGTATTGAAAACCATCACTACACAGAAGGTGAGAAAGACCCAGAAGTTCACGGAAGGAGGGAGTGGGGCAGGAGAAGGCTAGAAATTAACTGCAGAAGACAATGACAGACGTAAATGGGATGCGAGAGACGCCTGATGGTGTAAAATACTCGCAGTACTAATACATGACATAACTTGAATATTTAGTTTTGTTCTACAGCGCCATGTAACGGATTTACAACAAAACTAACTGCACATAAATTTTTTGGGTGTAATAGCCGTTTTCTCAATTAAGGAAAACGGCTATTAAATGTTTGTAGAACTTACCCACAGAGAAATAGGAAGTAATAATTAGGAATTTATGGGTTACTAGACAAACTTTCCAAACTACTCGTCGTGGCGCTTGTGCTGCCCGTTTTGAAGCCCTACCACTCCTCCCTCGGCGGCAGGTGGCCGTGGCTGTTCGGCGCCGTGTCCGCCGCGGACGCCGCGCGCCGCGTGGTGGCTGCCGTGCGCCGCAACGTGCCCGAGCTCAGCATCCCGCGCCCACTGCTCTGGGCCCACGCCCTGCACAGGTGAGCCGGCTCAGGCCACGCCCTTTTCCATCAGCAAATTTGGGAGGCATTTTTAGGCACTTAAAATTCTAAAATAGGTTTTTAAATAGGCACAAAAAGTCGAATATGTATTTTATTATGCTCCAAAAATAACACATTTAGAAATGAATTGCAGAATACCATTAATGAAAATAAAGCTACGACTTTTGTAAAATTACAACGTAGAGTAACTGAATATTTCTCCGTATTTTCCAAAGTAATGTGTCTATTGTTCAAAAGGATGTTCTTAAAACACGCGAAACTTCATAACTACTTTAAAATATTAAATCGGGATTAAGATATGCCAACACTTACTTTCGTTTCTCAAAAATCTCACACGCTAAATGCTAACAACGCATAACGCTTGACGACGCTAAACGCCAGCGAACTACTACCACCCGTCGCTGCTTCTACACGTCTTTCGATTATTGAAATAAACATTGTGGTAAAACATAATTTATGATTGTCAATAACTGTTCAATTTGTTTGCTCTCGGTTGAATAAAATTGGAAACAATCTAGGTTTTATATAATTTAATTTTTATTAATTGATGACCGACGTTTTATTTTACTAGAAAATTAATTAAGGCAGATAATGTACAATAAATATACTTTCATTAGACAATAATAATAATAATAATAATAATAATAATAATGTCTTTATTTCTGGCGAGGCTCAGGCTGTAAGGCCTACTACTCCGCCTAACCACTTAAATATTTATATTTATATAATTACAATTGAGGCGTTTGGGTACTGGCGTACAATTGTAACTGCCATTTCACGTTACTTACGGAAGTGCAATAATCGTATTAGCCAACGGAGATGTGCTGAACATAAGTAATGAAACATAAAGTATGTATGTATTTTCATTGTCAAATTTCTGCACTCTAAAACTAACATGATGAGAGCCCATGTTTATGATTTACAAGGAGGGCGTGATAAGTCAATAATTTTATTTTCATAAAATGTCAAAAATTATCTCCTACACCAGAGTGCCTGAATTATAAACAAATTACAAGAAAAAACAAGGCCATATTTTACATTTAAATTTGGGATGCGAGACTATCATATCCCGGCATAAGCCTTAAGGGATTAAGTAAACCCAGCAAAACCTCAATCAGGAGGAAATGGGAAGAGTATAGAAAGATTAAAGGGAAAGCGTAAAGGCATAAGTAGTAGAGGGAGTTAGATATTAATTTATGAAATTGGGGAAAATGGGAGGGGGAAGGGCATAATATGAAATAATATGTTCATTAAAAATAAATGTTTTTAGTTGACGCGAAAAATTCTGGGTTTTTGGAGTTAATTGAATTGAATATAACAGAAATGAACAAGAAACAGTAGAGAACAAAATAAATATAAAGGGCTAGAAAAAAATATGACAATACAAGAGTGAAAATGATTGAACTTGTATACCGAATTAGACAGGAGATATGGCGTTAAGACACTTCAGCGATTAAAAGCAAGAAAAGTACGGAAGAACAGCTGACGATCTAAGTTTAACCGAATTCAGTAAGTGATGATAACGTACTGGCGATAAATAGGCCGTGAACATGTGAATAGGAACTTGTGTTATCTCTAGTAAATTGCTTTGATCCAATCACTCAGTTATTTTTGAATTTTCTGAAATCGCTAATTTGTTTTAGATATGTGGGAAGTGACTTCCATGTTGTAATTACAGTGACAGTAAATTACTTATTGTAGGATAATGTATTGTACCGAGATATGCATAGCATTCACGAGTAACGTGATCGTTCAAGCGTCAGGATTTTAAAGTTGTACAATAAGTGCGTTTGATAACTATTATTCAATATGGAGAAGGAGGATGCTATGCGTTCTTCGATAATAAACGATTATTTAAATGCTCTCAATAAATGAACAGAAAGGCCCTTAATCTCTTATTTAATCCAATGAAGTTTCCAAGCTTAGTGATACGATTTCGCGACGCTTTGAACAAGTTGGAGAAATCCTCCCTTTCGGAAATTAGCATACGTAACTCTCCTGTTCCCTGGTGTAGCGATGTAAGGAACTTAGGAATATATATGGACAGCACACTTAGTTGGACCTTACAAGTACACAGCGATTTATCCAACTCTGCCCCTGACAAGAACCGGCTGTTGACGGTCACTATGGTGACGTCTTACTCCCGACTGAGTGAAACTGTCAACAGCTGATACGTACCAGAGGCAGAGTTAGAAAAATCGTAGGATAGGTACGATTTACCAAAAAGTCATCGCATGTCTCTATTCCTTCAATCGCGTTAGAGAATTACTCCCTATTAACATCCATTAAGCCTAATAAATATGCTCATAATGCCTCATTTCGATTATTGTGAAATCGTGTATGGTGTTTCGGTTATTTTCTGGTTACGTATTTACAGTTTAAGCAACAGCGCGAATTACAAAAAACACAAAACATGCATCATTTCATTTTCGATCTTGGTAAATTGGAACATAAATCGAATCATGTATCGATCAGAGTAACCAATCGGCCTTTATTGCTTAAAGAAGCATTTATAGACACTTTAAAATTCGCACACAATAGCCTAACACCTTAAACTGGATATGTAACCTAAAATGTTACATTTTTAATTAAGGGGTTACAATAGATAGGCAACGTTCCGCAGCTTAGCGTTATCTCTAAGATTCGATGTGTTGTTTGAAGTGCACCCAACCCATTGGTGGAGTCAATAAAATTGTCATACTTCACTAAGAAATAGCATCATGATCAAATTGCACTGTCCCTGGTGCAGGAAATATTAAAACCATTAAGTCAAAATAACTTTTTAACATCCCTAGAATTAAAATATTTTATTTAAAAAATGCAATTTTATAACAATTTTTCTCAAAAGGTAAACTAAATATGTAAAGTGAAAATATTTTGAGCCTTATGAAAAGACAATTCACACTAAGCTTTACATATTGCAATTAATTTGATAACGTTGTAGCATTCCCAATCCCTCTCTGAGAACATTTTCAGCGCTGAGAATACTTGATAAATAAATTTATTAATAGTAAATATTAAGGTAATGTAAAAAGACTCTTACAAATGTTCCTGTAATGTTATGGAAGATTATGTTTTCTTTTTTTTGTTGTAGGCTTTTTCCGAGAAGAGTGTACGAGTTGTTTGTGGACTACTGGGAGGGGGGCGCAAGTTCTAAAAAGCAGGCAGATGGAAAGATTCTGGCTTTACCAGACATTGACGGAAATGCGGATGAAATAAAAGCCACTGTTTTTGGCGTTACGAAAAGTTATTAAAGTCCAATCTGATAGTCTACAAATAGCTGTGTTTCTAGGGGCACACCACTTGAACTTATTTTTGTCAAGGTTCAATACATCAGAAAATGAAGAACCAATAAGCTTTAACATCTTAGAACCACGAATGAATGAGAATTCGTTTCATTCTATTGTTTCAGTTCTAGTTTATGTAAGTCCTGAAGGTCTTTTGTGAGCGCATCTAAGAAACATCCAAGCGGAACGATCAATAATATTATGTTCTTTTGCTAATACTTGCATGAAGTAAGCAATGAGATGAGTTAATTCGATGCTAATTGTGTGATCACTTTGTTCCTAACAATGTTTTTCTTCATTGAACATTATTTATTTACAAGATGGCTTGATTTGTTCCCTATTATACTAATTTCTAATAAAATAATTAATATTACTACTCGTCTTGATTCTTAAAATTCTAGTGTATGAATTGACGATTTAATATATACATATTTCTTACGAATATTGACAATTTCTAGAATTACCGTACTAGTCAATATTGTGATAGCTGCCTTCGACACAACTAATAATTGTCTTCAGCATATTGCTCAAACACAATGAGCAGAAGAGGCAGATTGTCTGCAGGGAATCATACTTACTGTGAGTGCAGTGGAAAGCAGTAATGCCAGTGAAAGGCCAAGAACGGACTAGCACCTACATTAAACAAATTATTAAAGATGCGGCAGCTAGTTCAAAATGATAGTAATTCAAGAACAAAAAAATGCAGTAATATTTCTTCAAATATTTATTTGGATTGATGATTCAAGAAGGTAGTTGATCATGTTTCATTCAAATGATTAATAATTTAACAAACGCTCAAGAATTATTAGGAGGCGTAAACATAAAATTGTTGGTGAGTTGTTTATCAAGTTGATTAGGTGTGTCTAATTACAAGGGAATTGAACACGTAACATAAAATGACAATTAGAGCAATATGAGGCAGATACAAAATACACATAGTCCCGCTTTAGTTAGTTTCAGTTAAGACCCTGGGTTAATGTGTTAAGAACAATCGGAGAGTGATCGTCGGGCACAATAAATTTCGAAGTGATTACACAACGGATGCTTTTCAAGCCTACTTATACTTGTACAGTGATAGAGAGGAATATCTTATCACTCGTATTCTCAAAATGTCCAATAACTGTATTGTGTCGCTGAGCCGATGTCATGGTTGATGGACCTTTATCCTAAGTGGCGATTCGATATGGTCCATTATGGAACAAAGAGGAAAAGAGACTGTATTGCTTTCCATTTCACGTTTGTTATCCTGAGAAATGTCTTGTAATTTAACAGATTCGAATCGTGAAACCGTAGTTCGTGTCAGTCTTTAGGCGTAATCATATATAATTTGCATAATTTCATCACAGTTGACTGTAGACTTAATACATTAATTACTTGTGGAAATATTTCAAATTATTAAATCGAATTATCCCTGGAACGATACGTATAAAAAAAGAACACATTTTTGTTTGTAGATCTATGTTAAGTATCGTAATAGTTATTTTTGTATTATGTTATTGAAGTTATTCTTTTGCCGAGACCGATAAAATAAAAAATAGTAATTGCATTATAATACAGAATGAATAGAATGAGAAGAATTACGAAAAAACCAAAAATATAGATTGATGAAAAATTCTTACGAATTTGCTCTTGTCGTCTCTGAGAGATACTCTGGCCGTAGACCAACACAAAGGACTGTCACTATACTAATGTTCAGCTCCCTACGATTTAGGAAGATAGAAGAAGAGAGCATGCCTTAGTCGGCGTGAAGTCGAAGCAAGGATAGCATTCGAAAGGTATAAGCAATACTGACATTCCACAGAAGCAGTGACGGCTGGTCTTTGAGGGCTCAAGGGCGGTGCCCTCCCCAGAAAAACCACCTTGGGAAAAGTTACAAAAAGTATTAATCTTTTAAAAAATCGATTCGTTTAATGTGTCCGGTAATGCATAAGAAAATGCTCTTTAGAATGGGTTTTTATCGTGGAGGATCTTGTGAAAGCTTGAAGAGTGAGGGTAGTGGGAATTGGGTGACGACAGCGGGCTGCGATAAGTTTTCTTCAGCACAGACCGCGTCTATTAATTTGGAAAAGAATATACCCTTTCGATTTGATTTCATTAATTACTACTTTCTTTGCTCGAAATACGTTTTTAAAAAATTCTTATTTTCGCGTGAGCACAGTTGTATCTTCGGTTATCAACTTAAAAGATGTCTTACACCGTGATTACAATTACGATGCGCGCAAATCGACTCTACACTACTTCCTGCAGTTTTCCTCGATCAAGAAATATTTGGAAGATGTAGGAGTAAAATGTATGTGATTGTTTGGGCTTATATGCCATCCCTCTTAATTTGCAATCCACTAGTCGATACTGTACAGTTGCTCGAATCTGCGAATGCTGCAGTATTTAAGTTATTACCCCAAATTCCAAAGACATTTACAGAAACATTTAGCATCAGTTGAGAAATTAGTCTACATTTAGGAGAGTTGTCATAAATTTGTTAATATATTATGTGTTAACAATTACATACTAATTATATATTACATATTAAATAGTATAAGTTAAAAGCTATTAAGAAGAGTTAAATGAATGCGAAATTAACGTTGCTTTTATCACGGATGTGTGCTTTATTTTCTCACTTCTCTTGTAAGCTACCTACCAAGCGTAAAGGTACTGTGGTGTCACCTTGAAAAAAGTCTTTTACGCACGGGGAGGACATGTGTTTCACATATTTTATGAAAAGACGAAATTCAAGTACGCACAGCAGCACGTAGAAACCCACGTTTTTATACAATCTTAGGAAAAATATTTTACAACTGTTTTATTAAAAATGTGTGTACACGTATTGTAGTTAGGACATGCAGGGAATGAAGAAAAGAAGAAATTTTTGGTCTGATACATTGCCTTCAAAGAAGAACTTATATTTCTAAAATTTAATTTTTGATATTTTAGAGCTAGTTGAAAAGATTAACTTCTAGAATAACTAAATTAGGAGCAAATCTGACAGCAATAAAAACATTTTACCCCATTCTTAAATTTGCCTGTAGATATTTTCTTTTTAATTTCTCGCCCTTACAAAGTAGTTGGTAAGAAAAGAAAGTTATGTAATCGTATGTCGGAAAACTGCCTATTATCGGCAGAATTTATTGCTAGGCCCTGGTAACAAAAAAGTGGATAACTCCTGTTGTTAAATATAGAAAACATTCCTCCAATACCAAGTGGTATAGCCAGCATCCATGTTTTATGGATCCTTGTGAAAAATCGATTTGTCGGCAAAACGTTTATCTATGATTAATGCTAGCGTCTAAACAGTTTAGACTATTTTCTTCACAATTGATATTCCCCAACCAATCTGAACGAGCTACAGGATACGGGAGTTTCAAACGTTTATTTATATTTTTGACTACTGTGCATGTAGCCTGAAAAAAGAATCAAAACTTTCTCAAAATGGCACCGAATTTTTTGTCTTCGGATGGCGTTAAGAACGCTTAAGAGAACGGTATAGACCACAGTGATGTTTTGAAAATTGCAAAAGTGCAATTTTTGGGGGGGACGCGTTTTTGGTCATTATAATATTGAAGAAAAAGGTTTTATTCTTTAATATTTCGAATTAATTTAATATTCTCGAAATATAGACATTAAATATGTCTATAAAATATTATATAATAAATAATACATAAAATTCCATATAAAAATTGTACAATCATTCTTTTTCAAAATATGCTCCATTTTTTCTTTAAATGTTGTCCTCATAAACATATGTCTAAATTATTATCTATCGAATGGTAAAAAATGTGGTTCAAGACCCATTGACGTCTATCATTCAGTTTTTTTCGAAAGTTGCAAAAGCTAACGATTTAAAACTACAAAATTGGAGATAACGATTTTTGCTTTAAAAAAAGTGTGCTGTAAAACGTCAGCCCTACAAAAAGTTATGAACATTTTTTTGAAAAGGCTGTTTTCGCGGAATTTGTGTCTGGTATTTACATATTACGTGATTATGCAAAAGTGTTTTCAAGCAAAAATTATTTTCCGAACCGAGACACGAACTCAGGTGATCACCCACGCCGAGACACGTATTCAGTTTACTCGCCGTCATCTACACCACTGCGCTACAAAAGAAGCGCGAAGAAATAACTCGGGCTGGCCCTTAAACAGGTAAGTCAACGGAACATTTTTCCAACATGTAATTTTGCATTTTTTCCAAATGCAGAGAGTTGGCCAAAAACGAAACGAGCGCATTTTTACTTCTCCGCGCTTACGACGGCACTTTGTAAGAGTTATGTAATCGTGCGTCGGAGAACGGCGAATTTTCAGGAAGAAAACACTTATTGTCTGGATCTGGAAACGAAAAAATTGATGAATATATAATTTATGGTGATACAGAATCACAGACATTCTGGTACTAGTTACTTTTCTAATTTCTGTGGTCTAGGCTAGCTTTTCGGTCTTACCACATGTGCTATCTATCTATCTAATAGTTGAAATAATATATTACTTAAAGAATATTAAAAACGAGTAAACGATCGTTCTATAAAGAAATTTTCGCTAAAGAATTTGGAGCCATTTTTAAGACAATGGCGTTTGAGGCTTACTGTAAATGCGAAATGTATAGGTCTACTTCAGAGAAAACTTTCCAGAAAAATATTATTGGAAGAAATTCGAACCACTTCCACTCACAAATACAATAATGTTGTGGCGTCATACGGGTGTAATCGGAACACAGACGAGAGTGGTTTGTAAAACAGTAGATTTATTCAC